GAGCCTCTTTTGACATTTTCATAGGCAGAATAATGGCCTCTTTAATATGTCTGTGTCCTCTTCCCAAGTACCTACCTGTGAATGTGCTAGGCTACCTGGCAAAGAAGAATGAAAGTAGCTAATCACTTGCCTTTGAGGTGGGGGGTGTTCAGGATTATTGAGCTGGGCCTAGTTTAATTTCAGGCTCCTTAAAAGCAGTTGGAGGATATAGAAAAAAGGAGAAATAGATGGCAGAATGAGAATTATTTGACCCAGTGCTGCAGGCTTTAAAGATAGAGGAAGGGGCCATGAGCCACAGAAAGTAGACAGCCTGTGGAACCTGGAACAGGGGAGGATGATTTTCCCCTAGAACCTATAGTCGGAAGGTCTACATAGGCCAACTGACACCTGGACTTTAGCGCAGTGACACTCATTTTGGACTTGTGACTTCAAGAACTGTAAGATAAATTTGTGGTGTTTTAGGGCACTAAGTTTTCGGTCGTTTATTACAGTAGCAAAAGGAAATGAAATTGGTTTATTAGCAAATAGTTCACTTGTTTTTCTCTCTGGGTTATACAGAATATACTGTATCCTCCAGAAAGATGGGCATTTGTGACACGGTAGTGACTCCACAAAGGCCATGTAGGCCCAGGTGTTGGCTTTACCATTTCCCTCTAATGAAAGAGGATTTGTCTCCTAAAGGAAGATTCAGTTTCTTACTTCGCATTTTGTTTTCTCAGAGAGCATCTTTACGTTACTCCCCTTCCATACCAGTTTCTTTGATCAGTGTTGGAATTTTCAGGAGGGCAATACAATGTAGAAGGAAATGAGAGGACTTTGCACAAGGGCAGGCACTGTAAGACAGAACACGGTGTTGTCGAAGAGATGTCTGTTGCTAAATTGAGTTTTTTTTCCTTGTAAGTAATGTACAAAATTTTTAACCATTAAAGTTAAGATTTTTCTCTAGGAAAAAATCTGCCTTTAGATTTTTGAACCTTTAAAAAATTAATAAACTTTTAAAAAAATAAGTTTTAGGTTTACATAAAATTGAGCAGAAAGTACAGAGAGTTCCTTTTTACCCCCTTGCCCCACCCCCCCCTCACTGTTCTCTCCCTTGTTTAGTGTGGATCACTGGTTACAATTGATGAAGCAGTCTTCACACATCATTGTTAAGTAAAATTCATAGTTTACACGAAGGCTCGTTTATAGCCACTATTACAGTATCATACAGAGTAGTTTCACTGCTCTAAAAATCCCTCGTGCTCTACTTACTCACCCCTACCCTCTTCTTCCAACCTTTAGCAACCACTGATCTTTTTACTCTCACTGTACTTTTGCCTTTTCCAGAGTGTCACGTAATTGGAATCATATAGCGGTTAGCCCCTTCAGGATGGCTCTTTTTACCTATAAATTTCTTCTCTCCGGCTTTGGGTGGCTTGATAGTTTCTTTCTTTTTAGCACTGAATAATATTCCATTGCGTGGGTTTCCTGATACACAACAGTTCAGCTATTCATCTGTCTTTTAAAGGTCATCTTGGTTGCTTCCAGTTTTTAGTGACTATAAATAAACATTCCTGTGCAGGTTCATGTAGATGTAGTATTATTTAGAACATAATCTCAGGATTTTATTGTCTTAGTGCTAAAACAAAAAGATGTTTAGAACTGTATCACTGGGCCCTTTCTCTTACCTCCTCCCGGTTCAAAATGCTTGCATCTCTTGATAGTTAGCATTCTCTTAGATCTGCAGTTGGGCTCCACACACTCAAGCCATAGCACAATCTTCTTTGTAGTTTTAGCCTTTTTCCAGAAAGTCTGCTTCCTTGTCATAAAGCCACTTTCCCTGGGCATGGAGTTCTTGTCCTTCTTGTCCTGGGCCACTTTGTGGGGCTGGTGCTTGCCACACTTCTTACAGAAAGTCTGGTGGGTTTCAGGAACATTTACCATGTTTGTGCCTAGATGTAAGTTTTCGATTTATGTGTATGAAGACCTACGGACACAATTATTGGATTGTGTGTTAAGAGTATGCGTTGTTTTGTAGGAAACTGCCAGATTATTCCAAAATGACTAACATTTTGCATTCCCACCAGCAATGAATTGACAGTTCCATTTCTTCAGCCTTTGGTATTGTCAGTTTTGGATTTTAGCCATTCTAATAGGTGTATAGTGGTGTCTCATTGTTTTAATTTATAATTCCTTAATAATTTATGATGTTGAGCATTTTTTCATATGCTTATATGCTGTTTTGTATTTTCTTTAGTGAGGAATTTGTTTAGAACTTTTATCCATTTTAGATTGAATTATTCTCTTGTTGAGTTTTAAGGGCTCTTTGTATATTTTCTTTATTAGATGTGTTTTGCAAATATTTTCTCCTCGTTCATAGGTTGACTTTTCATTCTCTTAGCAGTTTTTTTCACAGAGCAGGCATTTTTAATTTTAATGAAGTCAAACATCAGTTTTTTTTCTTTTATGGATTGTGCTTTTGGTGTTATATTCAAACTTAGTGTCAAACCCCAGGTTAGCTAGATTTTCTTCTGTGTTCTCTAATAGAAGTTTTATAGTCCTGTGTTTTACATTTAGGTCTGTGAGCTTTTACTTCTGAGGAATAATTTGGTTAAACACAGACTTCTAGATTGGTGATGTTTTCTGTAAACATCTCATGCCCCTCCTTTCTTGCTTGCATGATTTGTGAAGAGAAATCTGTTATCATTCTTATCCTTGTTTCTCTATAGGTAAAGAAGGTTTTTCTCTGGCTCCTTTCAAGATTTCCTCTTTGTCTTTGGTTTTCTGAAAATTAGAATGTGATTTTTCTTTATCCTGATTAGTGTTCTCTGAGCTTCTGGAATCTATAGTTTTGTGTCTGTCATTTATTTTAGAGAATCCTGACCCATTATTACTTCAATATTTCTTTTTTTCCTTTATTTCCTCACCTCCTGGTGTTCCCATTATGTTCCCATCATATGTTATTGTCCCAAATTTCTTGGACATTCTATTCTGATTTTTCTTTTTTTCTCTTTATATTTCAGTTTGAGAAGGGTCTACTGACGTATTTTCAAGCTCACTGAGTTTTCTCTCATCCATCTGGAGTTTTCTAGTGAGCCCATCAGAAACATTCTTCATTTCTGTTACGGGGCTTTTGATTTCCAGCATTTTTGTTTGGTTTTTTCCTTAAAGTATCAGTCTCTCTGCTGACATTGCTCATCCATTCTTCCATTTACATAACTGATGCTTCCTTCACTCCCTTATTTTATGTAGAATATTGATTTCTTGGGCCTCATAAGAATGTAATCACTACCTCATCTGCTCTGTCCTCCCCCCCCCTTTTCCTTCTTTCTGTATACCTTTAAAATGCTGAAGGTTCCAACCTTCCCTTTGGAAAAACAGCTTCCATGTCTGAAGGGATCAGTTAGGTGGGGCAGCACCCAGGCTGGTACCTGGTGCCTCCTTGGCATTTGTGTAGGGAGCCAATAATTCCTGAGACTGAATTTCTGGTCACCCCATGGAATGGGCTGTGAGTCAGAAACAAATTACTACAGTAAGTAAATAGTGGATATTTGGTGTTCCTGGGTTGGTGGGCCTCAGTTTACAGCCACCCACTAACTTTGGCCCGTGCTTGGGATGGCAAAGAGCATTCACGTTGCGCACATTTGTGATGGTCTGGTGATGATGCTGCGTTCATTTTGGTGGGTTGGCTGAAACCCCACTGGAGAACTGGTAAGCAGAAGTAACAGGCTCTCAGAAGCCTCCGTTGGGTGGGGATGAGTTTGAAAGAGTGGTCTGAGTGCTTTCACCCCACTGGTCAGATGGATTGCTAGGATGCTGAGGAGGTAAGTCACTACCCATAGTGCTAAGGAGATTAATTTCTTTCTCATTTGTAGGGTAAAGTGCCTTGTGTCTGGGAGGAAGCTACATGAATTCTGGTATTCAAGAATATTCCTACAATGGCACCAGCCAGGTCATACCACTCAAGTCCTGGCCAATGGGTTGCCCTAGGTTGGGGGAAGCCGATTTTGCATGGTGGAAATGAATCCATTAGAAACCATGAGTGTTTTGTGGTGAATGAAGTTCCCACTTGGCCCCAAGAGAAAAGCATTTGAATCTTGTTGGTGCCCATTTCTGAGATGTAGCAGACTGAAATTCCGAGGGCGAGGCCCTCAGGCCACCAGGGCTCTCAGAGCAAAGGAAGCTTCAGTGGCTAAGTCTGACTCCTCAGGGCTCCAGGGAAGCATTTCAGAGTGTTGCAACCACTGAGTGCACATAGAGGGCTGCTGGAAAGTGTCTGTCCCTTCCTGGAGAGGACAAAGGGTGCAGAGGGCCCTTAACTCAGAGTCTTGGACCTCATAAGCAAGGTCTGGACATTGAGAACAGGACTGATGACCCTGGGTACCATGCCCCATCCCAAGTGCTTATCTGACAGGCTCTTCCTTTCACACCTTCTCCCAGCCCTGACGTGGGCGATCGGACAGAAAGGCTGATCTTGGTGGCTCCTGCCTCGGCCTTGCTGTTCAGGCCAACAAATGCTGACATGTCTCCAAACCCGAATGTCCTGAAGGACTTTGTCTCAAACTCCAGGGAAATGGGTTGTGGAACCTGGATCCCTGAGTGAGGTGGGGTGGCCTACCAGGAAGGGGACAGGAAGTGAGCTGGACAGACCCTGCCTCAGAGGTCTGAGGGGGCCGCTGTGGCCATGTTTTTCTGTGAGGAGAACTGTGATAACGCTGAGGGTTGGGGGTGGACAGGGATACAGGAGGGCCTAAAGAGTGCAGCCAGTGGATACCCTGGCGCTCCTTCCTATTGTGGCTGAAGGGCAAGGGGGACTGCTGTGTGTGGGTGCGCAGAGTGGGGAAGGTGGTGCTGCTGGTGGTCAGGCAGTGGAGTGTTTCGGGTAAGGAGCTGTGTAGGAGAGGATGCCGCGAAGGCTATGTTAACCAGTTTGATGAAAGTATTTCAAATTGCATATAAAACCAGTACACTGTACCCCATGACTGCATTAATGTACATAGCTATGATTTAATAATAATAAAGAAAGAGCTGTGTCTGGATTCCAGAGGTGAGCAGATGGGAGACCCTAGGAGGGGTATAAGCAGGGAGAGATGTCAGGTGAGAGTTAGTCAGCTCAGCATGGAGAAGGGAGACATTTGGGCTTGCTGTGGATTTCCTCTGTAGATTAGAGGCTCGTGGAATGTGGGCCGGGCTCTCCAGCCAGAGGCTCTTTGTTGTGCCCTGGTGCTGTGCCGCGTGGTCACAGTCTGTGGGGTCTCCAGCTGGCCCTTTCTGTTCTGCTCACATCTGCCTTTACCAGAGCCTTGCCCTTCAACCCATGGTTACCCCAAGCAGTGGCTGTCAGTGGGGACTTCTGGGATGGGGGATCCCTTGCACTGAGCTGGTGTTGGTTTCAACTGAAAGGGCAGCCCTCGACCAGCGGAGATCTCACAGACCACCAAGGCTTGTATGAAAGGTCTTTATTGGTGAGAGAGGGAGGCTGCAGAGCAGCATCAAGGAGGAGAGAAAAGAGAGAGCAAAAGAAAGCACGTTCTTATATAGGTTCTGTTAGGGGAAGCAGCAGAAAGACGAAGGGACGCTAGAATAGCCAATGAAGAGCCGTTAGGGGCAGGTCATAAGTTTTTAGTTTTTCAGTGGGTAATCGGGACAGGAAGATGAGGTGAGTTTTGTGACTAGGAGATGGGCTTTCTGGGAAAGGGGCTTTCTGGGGCAATTACCTAACATCAACACCAATGTACTGTGCGATTCCAGACAACACTTTCCCACCTTTACCCTCTGTTGCCTCATTGGTGAGACAAGGGTATCAATCCCTTCCTCAGTGTGGTAGACTGTTTGAAAGACTGGCCTCTGCTAAGGGCTGAAACAGTGTGGGCTGTTTTAATTATCACTAGTGCAGTCAAACTTTCCCCTGGCTCATGGAGACTTTGGGAGTTTTCTGCAGTTTCTGTGCCTTCAGGCTTCTCTGTATGTGATCTTGCTGAAATTCTTCTGATGTGGACATGTTCAGTCAGGACTGGACAGAAACTTGGGCTCCTGAGTTTTAGACCAGTTCTTTTGGTTATATTAAATGTCTGGAGTTGGTCAGTTCCCAAACACCTTGAGGAAATAGTACAAAATTGGTAACCTTGCCTCATGTGGAGAAAC